ACGGCGCGTTTCGGTCCGAATACACCATGTGTTTTTTTTTCCCTCTGCACCTTCTTCTGCGTATCTATGTAGCTATCATTTTTATCTCCCCTTGCTAGCTAGTTTTTTTTGCTCCGGAGGAAAAAGGGGGAGAGAAAAAAATTCTTTGCAAGCAAAAACAGGTTGATTTGTTCATTAGGGGAGTAAAAGAGAGAGAGAGAGAGAGAGAGAGAGAGAGAGATGGGCCCCAAAGGGAAGGGGGAGGGGGAATTGCGGGTTTATTTAGTAACTACGTAACTACGAGTCAAGTCAAGAAGGGAAAGAAAGAAGGGAAAGAAAGAAAGTTTTTTGGTCGGAAACTGGGGTGGGCAAGTGCGCGATAGTATACTTACTACTTACTTGGCTGTTCGGGATAAGTATGTATTATGTACGTGAGAGAAAATCTGACATGTCGCATAAGCACCACCACCACGACCCCTTGCACGTGTCTGCATGTTTGTAAAGTATATAGTAATTATTTTGTGGGGGGGGGGGGGAAACGGATGGGCGTAAATGAAGGGATTCGCGCAACGCGACGCGCGTAAATAAGTAAGGCTTGCGCATGGCCCATAATATGTAGTGACTAGTGACAGAGAGTACTAGGAGTTATTTTTGTACACGGTGTGTTTTATGCGCTTGTAGTAGTAGCCTCATTCTCAACTTCAATAGTAGTAAGTAAGTATGACGATTTGTTTGTTTCTTTCCTTGGGGGAGGAGTTTGAAGTTTGATGAGCTAATTTCGTGTGTGTTTGATGTCGTAGTCTAGATGAAGTGGTGAGTGAGTGAGATTGATGGGGGGGGGAGAGGGAAGGGGGAGGGATCGGAGATGCATGGGTACGTTGTAAGTTATGGGTGGAGGGTCGGCGGAATGCGGTGAGGAACAAAAGAGTACACGTGGAAGGGGTATTTACGTGTCGGGGTTGAGGCTTTTTTTTACCTTCTGGAAGAGGTCCGAGATCGTCGATCTTTCGGTATCGCTGCTTTATCTTTGATATATACTAGATATAGGAAAGGTAATTAGGAGCCAAGAGCTTGGGGTATAAGTATGTAATTTTAATGGTTGCAAGCTACGTAATCACGTGATTTGCTACTTGATTCAGGTAATGTAACGTACAAACAAAGCAGTGGCCACCATGTATTCTCATGCCTTGCTTGCCCGGAACTTCCTCAAAACCTCCCTCTCTTCTTCGTTTTGTGCGATGCTCTCCTCGTCGCCGACGGGTAGGCGCTGGTGCTTCCATTGCTTGCCTCCGGCCCCATACTCGGCGCTCACCTGTGCATCACCTACAATGACCCATTTGTATATTGTCAGGCCTTCTAACCCGACAGGCCCTCGCGAGTGAATCTTGTTCGTGCTGATGCCGACTTCAGTTCCGAATCCGTATCTTTGTCCATCAGCCATACGCGTAGACGTATTCCAGTATACACTCGAGGAGTCCACGGCTGCGAGAAAAGACTTGGCTGTGGCTTCTGATGTAGTCAGGATGGCGTCGGTGTGGTGAGATCCGTGAGTGTTGATGTGAGAAACAGCTTCTTCGACATTTGCGACAGTCTTTATCGCAAGAATATAGTCCAGGAACTCGGTATCATAGTCTTCTGGTCCTGCTTCTTGCAGCAATGCTGCCGAGTGGGGATCTAATTTGCCTTTGAGCGCGGCCAGTGACGCATTGTCACAACGAAGGGAGACGCCCTTTTGTAAAAGCGCTTCTACAACCACGGGGAGACTGGTGCCGAGGGCTTCTTCTTCTACAAGAAGTTGTTCAAGTGCATTGCAGCCTGCAGGATAACTCGTCTTTGCATCGAGGATGATTTTGGTAGCCTTGTCTGCAGGGTAGTCGGAGCACAGATATGTGGAGCATATGCCGTCAGCGTGGCCGAGAACCGGGATCGTGGTCGTGTCTTTGACGTAGCGGACTAGTTTGTTGCCGCCGCGGGGAATACATAGGTCAATGTAGGTATCTTGTTTGAGGAGATCGGCAATAACATCGTGGGTCTGAACTAGTTGGAGACAGTCTGATGGTACTGCAGTTGATGCCAAAGCCTTTGAGATGATGGATGCAATTGCTGCGAAGCTATTGCTGGATTCACGACCACCTTTGAGAATGGCGGCATTCCCAGACTTAATTGCAAGCGCCGAAATGTTGGCAATGACTTCGGGCCGTGCTTCGAAGATGATGAGCAGTACGCCAATTGGGCACGTGATTCGCGACAGGACCAAGTTGTCGTCAAGTAGCGTCTTTGCGGTTGTCTTGTTGATGGGGTCTTCCAAGTCTCGTACATCCAGTATACCCTGGAGCATATCCTCATATTTGCCCGGCTTGCCCAGATCCAGCCTCTTTACCAAGCTCGCACTGAGCGTGCCTCCTGCTGCAGCCTTGTTGGCAGCCTCAAGATCCTGAACATTGGCGGCTAGTACTTCATCCTTGGCATTCGCCAGTGCATCGTGGATGGCGGTCAGGGCTGCATTCCGCTCGTCGGTGGATAATACGGCCAGTTTCCGGGACCCGAGTCTAGCTGCCTGTGCAACCTCGAGCGGTGTGGCGTTGGTCAGAGACATTTCTTCTCCTTGGGGGGTTGCTTTTGCCGGGTGGTGGTGGTGAGATGTGGTAAAATGGCCAAAGTCTTCAGATGCGTGTGACTCAATTCAATATTGATGGAGTGACGAGGGGCCTAGTGCCGGTTATGCAGGGTCTGTTTCCGCTGCAAATGCTATTGGAGATGCCACTGCGGGTCGTACATATGCGGAGATGGCGAGGAAGCCTAAAAAAAGCGACAGGACTCGTGGTGGGATGAACGTGGTGGTGTTGCGGGGTCTAGATGCATGACGCCACACCCGCCCGCATGCGAACCAGGGTGTTCTCCTCTTCTCACACCAACCACCACCCTGCTGACTGCGCTCTTATTACTTGCGTCCTGGACCGCTGCCCAACTCGATCGCTGGCAGGTTTCGATAAGTTTCCGGCTTCGTCATAGGCCGGGGCTCTGGACGCGCACCAAGATTGCGTGTTGGCAGCAGCGTCTGGCGGTCGAGTGCTCGGCAGGGGTCTGGTGTGGCTGGGTGCGCCTACCAACCACCTCGGCGTCGCCTTGCCAACCTCGCCCAATTCCATCCACTCCCGTATCGCAACAAGCAAGCTTGACCGCACTATCCCAGTTTCACGTGCAGCCCACTACGTAGGTCACCGCCCAGAGATGGCTGGGACTCTACAAAAGCTGCAGGGTCGCCGGCCACAGGGCCTGCCACCTCTGCACACTGCTTCCCGACCGCCTCTCAGGTGCTGAGAAGGTACCCTGTCGCACTTTACCTTCACGGTACACACGTGCATACCCGCCTGTGCGCCATAGACTGCTGTAACGTTTTTCACAAACATTCGTTTGACAGCATACGTCTACCAATATATCGCACACCACTATCGCTATCGGCCGTCACCTTCACTAAGATGCGTTCTACAACAAGGGCACTTGCGGCTCTGCTCTCAACTGTCCTATACGTTCCCTCTGCAGCACAAACATGGTCCAACTGCAACCCGACCCTACGAACCGACTGCCCTCCAGACTCCGCGTTGGGAAGAACCGTAAACATTGACTTCAGCTCAAAGTCCGACAGTTTCACTCCACAGGGCAACCCAACCTATGGCTCCGATGGCGTGTCCTTTACCATCTCCAAGGCGGGCGATGCGCCACAGCTCACTTCGCTATGGTACATAATGTTCGGCCGGGTAGACATTCAACTCAAGGCTGCACCGGGCGCAGGCATTGTTAGCAGCTTTGTCTTGCAATCCGACACCCTTGATGAGATTGACTGGGAATGGCTTGGTGCAGATCCTGATGAAGTTCAGTCAAACTATTTTGGAAAAGGTACGACATAATCGAGTTTATCGACCTATGCACACATCAACTTTGAAAGTCACTTACTAACAACCCATCCAGGTCAGACAACAGACTACAACCGTGGTGCTTTCCATTCAGACCCCGGTAGCCAGTCAAACTTCAAGACTTATACAATCATCTGGACACCAGAGCAGATTGTATGGCAGATTGACGGAAACACTGTGCGCACTCTTGAACCTGCCAACGCCAACAACCAGTACCCCCAAACACCCATGCAGGTCAAGTTTGGCTCCTGGAGCGGTGGTGATCCAGCCAACCCTGCCGGTACTATCTCTTGGGCTCGTGGTCCAACCGACTACTCCAAGGGACCTTTCACTATGACTGTCAAGTCTCTCAAGGTCCAGGACTACTCCACTGGCTCTCAGTACATCTACGGTGATCAATCTGGTACTTGGAAATCTATCAGGTCCAACGGCGGTGCCATTTTCGCGGGAGGTAAAGCTCCAATCGCGGACGCACCTGCAGTCACCGCAACAGCTAATGGCGCTCCTCTGCCTTTTGCTCCTCACCAGACCAACGCCGAGCGCCCCAGCGTTTACCCCTGGATTCCTGACCCGAACGCTACTCCCACTCCTCAACCCACATTTGCAAACTACCCTGGCCTTCCGAGTGGGTGGACTGTTTCCAATACCGGAAAAGTGATTCCACCCAGCTCAGCCACTGTCAGTAAGCCATTTCTTCTACGGTTCCTCCACTTTGCAAACAGTATACTGACTTGAATCTTGTAGATGTCCCCTCCAGGTTCCTCTATCTCATCGCTGCAAGCTTCGCCTACGGATTCCTCCGGCAATGGGCCTAAGACTGTAACCAGCTACGACGATCGTGGCTTCACGACCATTCGCACAATCCACCCCGAAGCCACACCAGCACCCTCAGGCAACGGACAACAGGGCAACAACGCTGGAGACGCGGTTCCTGCTGCCCCCCTGGCAGCAAGTTCCTGGACCCTCGTCATCTCGAGCATTCTGCCCTGGGCGATTGTCCTCCTCCATATTCCTACCTGCCTCGGCTTCTAGGCGAGTTGGGCAGACGTATGGTATACCGTGGACTTCGGACCAGCCTACCCTATCCTCGGTGCTGGTATCGTCGCGATGTTTGCATGTCTAATGAAATGCGTTATGATGGGTTATGTTGGTTTCAAAATCTCAATCAAGTTGTGGGCGGGGCCTTGGCCCGACGCAAGCTGGAAGTGGAACTACAAGTTCAAGGGCAGTAAAGAGACGGAAGCGACGTACAAAGCCATATGGACGTCGCTTCGGCAGATCTTTCTTGGAGCTTGATTGTTTTTTGTTTTGTTTTGTTTTATTGCATAGCGTCTGGTTTTGGTATTTGAGCGTTATTGGCTTTTGTTTGGTTTATAGCATATCTGCAGGCGACTGAGCTGCGGTTGATGCGGATTCACAGTCTGCTTTCATACGAGATTATAGAGTATAGGAGACGATGTCATGTCGTAACGTAATGAACTTATCATACTGTATCATCAGCATTCTCGACGTTGACATATTGTGCCTAGCAGATCTTTAAACACGCTCTATTCAACATTCACGTTGATCCAACAATCAAAAAGTCACTCCAAACAAAAAAACCCCCTGCATTATTTTTTTAGTGAAGTAAAAAACCAGCAATTCTAATATACAAAACACGAACTCAAGATTTCACTCTTCTCTCTCTCTCTCAGTTAGAAAAAATAAAAGAAAAAGGTCCCTAAACTGCCGAAGCATATACCATTATGAATTTTTCTTGATTCCTCTTTTCGAGTTTTTTTGCTGCCCTAACATACCGTAGTCCTCTCCATTAGATTTGATTTGAGTGGATGGTCCCCTTTTGAATTGAAACTTTTTTTTCTGTCGCTTTTGAACCGTTTCGTGGCGAGATGATGGATGTAGGAAGGAAGAAGGGCCTTCTTCCCTAAACGTATGACATACCCTTAGTGGAGAAGAAACAAGTAGCCGTGCTGACTCCATCCTCTCCGGGCTCTCGTCCAAGCAACAGTCCCCGAGTTTTTTTGTGTTAGGTGAGGAGAAGTTGGACAAGAATGTGAGAAACGTAGTTATCCTCGTTCCTTTCCTGCTTCTTTTCCTTTCCGATTCGAGTTTATGATTCCAAGAGACACACTTCTCTCTTTCTCCACTGCGTGAAGTCTTTCACTTTCAGGTGATCAATTCCAATGATGACGCTTTAACCGCCACGGCCACCATACGGTTGGTGTCTGAAGCCGCCGCCTCCACGGTGACCTCCACCACGGTAATTGGCGCCGCGGACACCAGCGTTCTTAGGACCAGTGGGTGCATTGATGGGAGCCTGACCGCCGCCAGAAGGAGGCTGGCTGGATCCTTGGCGAGACCGATTGTTTCTGAAGCCGCCACCGCCACGGCCGCCGCTAGGTCCGGAGGGAACGTTGGGCGGAGGTGCGTCGTCGTACATGCCATCCCAACTTGCTGGACCACCGCCCTGTGCCGCACCGTAGCCCGCGGGGCCAGAGAGTTGTTGCTGTCGACGAGCTTGCTGTTGCTCGTATTTCTGCTGTTCAAATGCCAGCTGGTCTTGTGCCGTGTATGCTGGGCGAGGACCGGCATTTTGTCCGCCTTGAGCATTCATCATGCCTGGGCCTCCGGGTCCGCCTGGGCCACCTCCACCTTGCATCTGTTGCATCTGTTGCATTTGCATCTGCTGCATTTGCATTGGATTCATACCGCCAGGGCCACCCATCATCTGTGGGTTTGGCGAGCCAGTGCCACGGTTCATGCCTTGGTTCATCATCTGCTGTTGCATTTGCTGCATCTGCATCGGATTCATACCGCCCATTCCACCCATAGGGTTACCCGGCATGCCACCACCGGCCTGTTGTTGAGCGAGCGTTTGCTGCATAGATTGGAAGTATTGCTGCATCCGCTGCCAGTACTGGGCCATCATAGCCGGAGACATGGCAGTGTTGCCTTGTGCTTGCATGTTTCCTCCGCCGTTCTCATAGCCGTTTCCTCCACCCTGACCACCATTTCCGCCATCATTGAACTTGTTGAACTTGTTGCCGCGACCGAACTTCTTGTTTCCGTCACCACCGTCGTCGTCACGCATGTTTCCGCGAGGCTGGGCGCGCTTAACTTCGATTTGCTTGCCGAGAATCTGAAGTGGGCCGCGTAGTGTAGCATCTACTGCCGCATCGCCGTCAAAGGTAACGAAACCGAAGCCACGAGGGCGGCCCGTTTCCTTGTCCATCATGAGGGTGGCATCGACCACACGGCCAAATTGCTTGAAAAAGTTTGTAAAATCTTCCTCCGTTGCTTCCTGGCTGACACCGCCAACAAAGATCTTGCTGGTTCGCTCTTGTTCTTCACGAGGAATAGCCCGCTTTGGGTCAATCTGATCATTGTTAGCGAATGGTTTTCATTAGAATTGGTGGTTGACATACGATCTTGCCGTCTAGATAGTGCTCTTTTACCATAACAATGTTGACGCATTTGGGGTCCTTAAAGGTAAGGAAACCAAAACCTCGAGATCGGCCAGTAGCAGAATCGCGCATAACCGTGCACTCGCTGACCTCACCAAATTGTGAGAAGTAGCCCTTGAGGGAATCTGTGTATCAGACATTAGTACTGATTGTGGTTACAGGGCTGACAAGTGGCAGCTCCTATGATGAAAGACTAAGGGCTACTCATAGCTCAAGTCAACAAACGCACCTTCAGTAGTCTCCCAATTTAGACCGCCGATGAACATCTTGCTACAGTTGGTGTCAGTACGTCAGTGTTGACATGGTGGATAAAAACAAGAGTACAAAGGGGGCATTGAGACGCATCACAGGTTGTCGACAATTGGTATCCAGAAGCCATTCGAGATGAGTAAACAACGAAAATGATATCCCAACAGCCCGACATCTTGTAATGTCGAAAAGGCAAACTGCAGTGATCGCCACATATATGCGCAAAGTCACTGGGCTCCAGTAATGTAACCAACGTCCGGAGGAAGGTGTATGACAAGGGTCTTTGGTCGGCGAAGCGGGGAGAAGCGCATGGTTTCGGATACGGCGTATGGTTCGTCCAGTAATATCGAGATAGCCAGACTGTAATGTACCCTGGTGGTCCTGAAGGTGGGGAAAGGCAAGTTGAATGTATTGCCTGTTTGTGTTGGTGATTCAGACACAAGTTCGAGGTACCATCGTACCCTAGAACATATTGTCTCGGTGATTTTAGGTACTTTGCATTCGGGCACCCTGGCTGTCCGATGTTGATTGTGATGATGACCGAATACAGAACTTAAGCGAAGCCATGTCCAATGCCGCATCCTAATCCCAGCATGTCGAATCTTGTGGCGTAAACCAATCATGCAGACTAGCAACGCAAACCACGTACTCAAGATCGACATTTCGAGGTTCAAAAGTAGCCCTGCAAAGGCACAGTATGGTTCGGATGAAGCGTCTGTGTTTTGCTATGGATTCGAGTGCAGACGTCTGAGAAAGACTTTCTTACAACTCGGTAGCTATCCTCTGCTTGCGTTGCTGGTACGCGCTATCAAGTACCTAGGTATATATCGACATGAGGCGCTGCCAACGTTCGGGCAAGCCACAAGAGTCCTCGCGAAAGGCGCGTTGATAGTTGTTTCTGAGTATCGCAGAGCCGTTGACCCGTGTCTTCCAGCTTCTTCCAACAACCAAGCTTGACGGCCTAACCCGTCATATTCAGAACGCTCGCCAAATGGGCGACGCAGACTGCAAATCTTCGCATCTTGTCAAGAACCTAAGCCTTTACACCAGACTGGCCCAGTCACGGCCCAAGGCGCTCTTGGGTAGTGCAAGCGCATGAGAACATCTAGTGCATGCTGCATAATCATGCGCCTAGAGAAATCAAGCAATCGATGTACCCTTTTGTCGCTGTCTGATGTCCCAATACTACTTTTCATGCGGCCAATACAGTTTTGATCCCTATACCGGTATGTGTTCGGCAGATGGATAAGATCGTATCTCGTACGTGTGACTTTACCTTGTGATGCGTCTCTGGGATATTAATACGATATCAAGCATGCACGACTTACCCGTCTTCTTTTACGTTTATAGGTCCATAGTTGTCATCTTCCGCAGGTGCGTTATCAAAGGACTGTTCGCCTCCAGCATTGAAGCCAGATTGGCCCATCTGTGCATCTTCGCCCGCCGCACCTTGGGCTGGCCAAGATGCTTCAGCATTTTGGTTGTGATTCTGGGTAGTATCCTGAGGCGGTACGCTCGCAGATTCGGTTGGTGCTGGCTCTGGCTCGGCCTTGGGTGCAGGTGCAGATGCTGCTGGGGCTTGCTGCGACGTGGGTTCGTCGTCATAACTGACTGGTAGTTAGCATTGCGCAGAATGGCGTCACAGAATAGCTGAACGCATCGCATCCGGGTCGATTGTCTTACAGATCGTCAAAGATATCGTCCTCGTAGTTCTCGTCGGCCATTGCAACGGTTGAAGTTGGAGCTAGAAGTGATTAAGAAGCAAAATCAGAAAATGACTGGGCCGATGGCAGTCCTTAATTGAGCTCCTGGCGCGATGCTCTGGTCAAAAGCTTCGACTACCTGAAAAACTCAGTTGGAGAAGCAGATTGTACAGTCGCAAAATAGCAGGGGGATGGTGTGAGGATTAGGGGATTGACGCGATAGAAGGCGGGTGGGTGAAGGTGAAGGTGAGAGAAGAAGAGGCTGCCTGAGGTTGGGAGATGAGAAGCAACGGGCAGTCGCGCTAGTGTGGGTGGAGCTTGGCGTGGCAGGCGCGATGGATGGAAAGCACGAGCGGCAGCGCCGTGGTCGGGCGACTTGGAGCTCGGGGCCTCGCAGCGGGGCGTTGTCGCGACACGATTTCAAGAGACGCATTCGATTCCACCATGGCTTCCAAAAAGCAGCAGCAGGTTTGTGATTCTTCGCCCGTGTAGGCACAAATGCCGAGTATTCTGACACGTCGCCAGGAAATGGTGCAGGTCGGTTCGTGTCCATCCAAACCACCAAGCGTACATACATCACGATACCCGGGGTAGCTAACACATCGCTTCCCTACACACAGACCGCTCCTCGTACGTTGCTATGCCCGAGCCGCACCCACACCGCCGATATTGACATTGAATGCGCAGTTCTGCCTCGCCCTTTTGGCGCACGACATCCAATACCGCTACCTCGCCCACAGGCAAGAAGGTTATCGGCGCATCATACTCCCATGCCGACATACTCAACTTCAGCTCACTGTACGTTTTGTTGGCACCACATTCACGTATGGCGCCTAGACTGACCGTCAAAGGAGCGTCTCTGGGTCGACGTCACGGCCTCGCACCCCACCATCGGCTACGCATAGTCGCGAATCGAGCATTGCCCCAGGCCGGTCAAGCAAGACCACATCGCCCCGCTCGCGCCCAACATATAGCCACTTTCTCAACGACACACAGCAAGACTGGAACCATGGCGACGACCCAGATGACCCCGACAATATGTTTGAAGACGATGAAGACGAATTTGGCCTACCAAGCATTGCAAACATGCGGAGAAAGGGCCGTCGCAAACAGCCAACAAAGCCAAAGGACCCAGGCGGCACCGCCCGCAGGGAAAGTCAGGGCTCGACTGCATGGCGGGCAATAGACAGTGGTGATATAGCCGAAGAGCGAGGCATACCCAACTACCCAACCGCCAAGAAAATTGAAGGAAAGATATTGCGACCGCAATATCAAGAAATCCTACGCGACCCCGCAAATTCTCTACATCTCATCTCACATCCCCCCGTAGACCCGAATGCGTCAGCAAAGCAAATGGAGGAACACTCAGCCCGAACAACAAGAATCAACAAATTCAAACGGATACTTCAAGCCAGCACCATCTCGCTTTCCGATTTGCGCGACTCAGCATGGTCGGGTGTGCCATCTGAAGTACGCGCCATGACATGGCAGGTCTTGTTGGGATACCTCCCCACCAGTAGCGAAAGGAGGGTTGCGACACTGGAGCGCAAACGGAAGGAATACCTTGAGGGTGTGCGGCAGGCTTTCGAGCGAGGGACTTCTGGTAGTGCAGGCGCTGTCGCCTCTGGCATGGCTGGAGGCGCCTCTTATCCTTCGACAAACCGAGGGCGTGGGCGTGGCCTGGACGAAGCGATATGGCATCAAATCAGCATCGACGTGCCTCGGACAAACCCCCACCTAGAACTCTATAGCTACGAAGCGACGCAGCGGTCGCTTGAACGCATACTATACGTCTGGGCTATACGACACCCTGCCTCGGGTTACGTACAGGGCATCAACGACTTGGTAACCCCATTCTGGCAGGTCTTCCTGGGTGCTTACATCTCAGACCCCGACATTGAGTCTGGTATGGATCCTGGGCAGCTACCGAAGCAGGTTCTTGATGCTGTAGAAGCCGATTCATTCTGGTGTTTGACTAAGCTGCTTGATGGGATACAGGACAACTACATCGCCCACCAACCGGGGATTCAGAGGCAAGTGTCAAGCCTGAGAGATCTCACCACACGCATCGACGATGGGCTAGCAAAGCATCTCCAAAATGAGGGTGTCGAGTTCATACAGTTCAGCTTCCGTTGGATGAACTGCCTTTTGATGCGTGAGATATCCGTGAAGAACACAATACGGATGTGGGATACCTATCTGGTACGTATCGTTGACTGAAATGTAGACAAATGACTGATGTGTGTTAGGCCGAAGAAGACGGATTTTCGTCTTTCCATCTTTACGTCTGTGCCGCCTTTCTTGTGAAATGGTCGGACCAACTTCGTAAGATGGATTTTCAAGAGATTATGATGTTTTTGCAATCACTACCCACTCGGCAATGGACCGAAAAAGATATAGAATTGTTGTTGAGTGAAGCCTTCATTTGGCAAAGCCTGTTCAAGGGTAGCGGTGCCCATTTGAAAAACACTGGTTCAAGAGAGATCGGTGTAGGGATGGGTCCCGACTTCTAGGAGCGCCGATATTGTAGGTTGAGTAGATGAATCGCAGCCATGTCGAAAGCGCATAGATTGCAGCAAATTCATGCACGGGATATTGCGAGCCTTTCTTCCGTGACTGCCAAAAACAGTGTCAATTCAATTCAAGATGCTTGGCGCTTGCTTTTCCGAACAGTATTTGCTATCTCCGGACTACACCAATATCGGCTCAGGCAATGAGTAGCAACAGGGAATAGAAGCTACCCCGCCCTTTCTTTACCCCACTCTACGTCACTTTGCCTATGCCTCGGGCTGAGACACATAAAATATCGTACTCTACCTCGTTCCATTACTCGAATGCCGAACCCGAATCACACGGGTTTTTGAATAGTACTACTTGGATAAGGTATTACAGAGGCCAAGAGCAGTTTTCAGGATCTCCAATGGCACCACCACCTCGCCCTCCGTTCACCGAGCTTCCGCTTGACAAGAGCGGTCCTCCGGGAAACGCATGGGGTCTCTACGGTGCCAATGACGAACTTGGTGCCCTCAATATGATCACTCCCTCTGTTGTCAAAGCCGCCGCGCAAGAAATCCAAACCGGTGACCGTGTCTCTCTGGACTGGTATCTTAATCTGCCATCTCACCCGTCCTTCAACCGGCCATCATTCTCTTGGACTATGAAAAACAAGGAGCATCCAGATGGGACAAAACGAACTGTAAATGACGATCATGTGGATTTCAACACGCAGGGAAGCAGCCAATGGGATGGGTTCAGACATTACGGATACCAAAGCGCGAAGAAATACTACGGCGGACGCTCACAGCAAGACATTGAATCATCGCAAGTCATTGGTATCGACCGCGTAGCCAACTCAGGTGGCATCACGACCAGAGGCATCATCCTAGACTATCCGCGTTATCTCGAGAAGAAAGGCGAAAAGCAAGTGAATTCGCTGGAGGCGAACAGCATCACTGCAGATGTGTTGAGGGACATGTTAAAGGACGTGGGCGTACAGCCAAGAGAAGGCGATCTATTCTTGCTGAGAACAGGCTTTACTCGGGATTACAACAAGCTTAGCGAAGCAGACAGGAAAGCGATCAAGGACAAGCCACCAAATTTTCTTGGTGTCCAGTCCGACAAGCAGAGTTTACAGTGGATTTGGGAAAGTGGATTCGCAGCTGTTGGTAAGATCTTTCTCGACATATGCTCTTCCCTGTGTTCAACCCAATCCATGTTCTCTTTATCTCTCACATTAGAAGTTCTTTGTGTCAAGTTTCTCCTAACCTAATCACAGCATCTGATGCCCCTTCTTTCGAAATGTCACCTTTAGTAGGACCTCACAACGCCCCCGGCGGTATATGGGCAAACGAGTCTTGGGAAGAAGAGATGCAAGGTGGTGGATTGTTGCATCAATGGTTACTTGGTGGTTGGGGGGTCATGATAGGTGAAATGTGGGATTTGGAGGCACTGTGCAGTAAGAGCGCAGAATTGGGAAGAAGCACATGCTTTGTGAGCAGTGTGCCGCTCAAGGTATGTTGGGCCGTCTCTCTTTCCTTCTTTTTCCCATTCTCAGAGGCCACGTGATTACACTTACAGAAGAGGTGGAAAGCGCCAAAGAAGGATTCACTACTTGGTGATACACCACGCAAAGCTAATCATGATCCATCACAGGTACCGGGAGGTGTAGCAAGTCCACCAAATGCTGTCGCTATCTTCTAAATTAGGTTGTATATTAAAATAATACACTTGCGCATTCATAAACTTTGCAAAGTTCAAGATAGGGCTGGGAATAGTCTAGTCGACGGCTATATCGACAAATTCCGGTAACTTCCCACCAAATTTCTTAGCATATCACTTTTATACAAGACATATGAGATGGCCCGCTTCCCCCCGGATCGCTGCGGAGTATACAACTTATGATGCAGTGCTGGCCTTACGCAGTAGTAGCAGTACTTACATGGATGCGCTACTCTTTTCACACTCCTTCACTCTTTCTTTCTTTCTTTTCTCACTCAATATTTACCAAGTGCATACACGATGCTGCGTATTCATTTCGATTAAGGTTAAGGTCAGTATAATTATTATGTCTTGTGGTCATGTGAAAGCATGACGTACTAAAGCTTGAACAAGTGGAACAGACACATATACATACATCAATGCAATCCCTGCAATGACCACCTCTATGTCCAATCCCGAATCTTGAAACAAAGCCAAGAACATATACTTACATACACCACTGGAAAGGGGCGGTAAAAAAAAGCTTGGAAAGCCGCACAGCCACCATTTCCACCCCTGGTTTTAACTTTAAAAAATAACGTAAGCCCTAACCCTAAATCCAAAGTTGTACCACCTTGTATCGAAACTCTAAAGTTTAACACAAGACTTTAAATGCCCGCTTTTCGTCCATTGTGGTATTTTGGAATTTTGTCTTTTCGTTGCTCTTTCCTGATTTCGCCAAGATATACTTGACTTCTCACAAAGAAAATAAGGATGAAGTACTTCACTCTCGCTATGATTACTACGCTAGTTGCTTTTGCGACTGCGCACCCTGCGACTCAAGGTAGTGGGCAGCCGGTCTTCGCTTGTAGCAGGATTTGTGCTGGGTCTACGTTAACGTGCCCTAAAGGTCAAGTAAGTTGAACTTTTTTTCTTGGTTTGGAGGTTTTCGCCTTTTCTTCATATATGTTCTTTGTTCCGTACATGGCTGCTATTTTTTCCAGAAGCTAACATCGTGGTAGTTCGTCCAAAAGACTGGTGTAAGTTACTACTACGTTCCATGTGGACAGACTACGTTGAATACGCAAACAACGTGGGGTTGAGAGTAGACTGGACGACCACAGAGAAACCTTTCAAACCCAAGCGCATAGTAAATGGGGTTCAAAATAGCTAACATATAGTGTAGGACTGCTACACTTGCTGCCAAAAATCGTAGTTTCCTCACAGCGTCTTGATGATGTGCCCTAGTACTACCGTCACACGATATCAGCCCTATGGCAGAGGGTTTACGCATGCATGCTGTGGGACAAAGCCATACCTGCATTTTTCTTCGTACATACTACCTGAATTAGTTTCGAAGACTGTGTATATTGAACTTCATATTTAATAACAAATTGGCCGATATCGCAAGTAGCAACCCAACAAACCTGCTACCCAAGCCTACCAATATCCATCACATTAAGCCCCAGAAAACTAAGTCCATTTCTCTAGTCCCCCTCAAAAACTTTTTTCTAAAGCAAAAAAAAAAGAAAAGTATACAAATGCCCAGCCTACACCCTGTATCTCCTTCTCCTCGCCCCATCTTCACTCCTTCCACTCTTCCCCCATTTCCTCTATGTTACGAGGAAGACCAAAACAGCAAAATGACTCCTTCGTCCTCCCTAACTGCCACATAACCCAGCCGCCCTCAGAAACTCTCCTATCTCGAACCGAAAAACGAGACGGAACAGGTTCAGACACATACCGAGGCCGTGAATCTGCTCTCTCTCTCTCTCCCTCTCTTTCTAGAATATCCCACAACCAAGCACGTGTGACTATTTTTTTCTCTCTTCCCCCCTCACCCATTCTACATGTTCGGCGTATTTTTTTTTAAAAAAAAAGAATTCGGACTCTGTGTTTCTGAGTCGGAAATGGATTATTGACGGATTGAAAGAACGATGTTCGTTTATCGTGGGGTATGCTACACATTTTACTATAGAGGGAAGGAACTGCTAGTTGCGAGTTATGGAGTTTGTGGGTTGATTTACTAAATGACATGCGTGGATATGTAGAGGTGATATCGGTGCTGTGGGGATTGGAGATGAAAGTATGAGGGGTTATGTTGGTGGTATGAGGTGTTTGTTGGGAAGTGTTGGTGTGGAGTGGTAGAGATGGGAGCGAGCTGGGGAGATAGAAAGGGTATTTTTACTAGATGATTTGGGTGGGCACAAGGTATGAAAGTATTTTCTACTCCGCATGGTCTACGAGGTCTTATGAGTAGTCCTTGGCAGAGCTAGAAATGTGTACAGTATGATAGCATCTAGGATGTATTCTCGAGTCCTGGTATCTGATCCTTGTCGCATCGAACTCCATACTACAATTTGACCAAGAAGAAAGCGCTCAAAACATTGCCAACAGAAACCGCATTCGTCTCATCCCTCCAACCCTCAAATATACCGCTCAACCTGCTGCTCACTCCACTCCCAAAACACCTTCGCATTCTCCTTCCCTAGATCCGAATAATAATCCTCTCTTAACGGCACCACGCGCCCCCAAGGCACAACCCACTCGCTCTCCTTGAGCTTCGCAGCTTCGGGCGCCAAACTCGCAAAAAGTTCCGTATACGCACCGTTCACGGCCGGATACGTTAGGAGCTTGAGGAGCAACCTCTGCCACGTAGGTATATACCTTTGAAGATCCGTAGTGAGATTTCCAGGATTGAGAGGCTGAGTAGAAGAGGGGAAAACGTCAGTATAAAAAACAAATAATAGAAAAAAAGAAATGATACACACATATTACAAACTGATCTGAACCGAAAGGGAAAGCATGAACAGAGAAAAAAAAAGTAATCCGTCGAAGGTAAAGAAGACAAAAGAAATGGGGAGTGGGAGGGGGAAAAAACTTACAACGCTGACAACTCCTTCTCCTCCATACCTTTTTCGATACTCGATAGAGTGCAAAATATTTCCCCCTTTACTAACCGCGTACTTTGCAGTCGGCGAGGCATCCTTCTTGTAGTCCAGATTTTGCATGTCTAACCCTCCTTTTGGCGCAGCTACATGCGCTACTGAACTCGACACCCACACCACCCTTACGCTCCCCGCGGGTTCCTTCTTCGCCGTCGAAACCAGCAGCGGAGTAAGCAGTTTTGTGAAAAGAAATGGGGCAACGCAGTTAGTTCCAAGCTGTTGTTCGTAACCTTGTTTTGTCTTTGAGCCTTGCGGGGTCATCATGACGCCTGCGTTGTTGACGAGGACATCTAGACGGGATTCCTGAGCGAGGAAATTTTCAACAGATGGTTTTATGCCTTCGAGGTCGTTGAGGTCGAGGTGGAGATGGGCTAGTTTGCCTTTGGAGGATGGGTGCTGCTCTTTGATCCACGCGAGCGCTGCGGTTGTCTTCTCTGTTGAGCGCGCGGCGGCATACACAGTACCATTGCGCGAGTAGAGGAGGCGCGCTAGTTCTTTGCCCACGCCGGCGGAGGCGCCAGTCACGATGAAGACCTTATCTTTGAGATCGGGCAGCGAGCTTTCAGTGAAGGTAGGTGCTGGGGGGAAAATCTGGCTGAATTGGTTACCCATTTTGACTTGAGGTTTCCTGGGCGGATAGTATGTTGATGGTTAAACTTGTAAAATGATGGTGATGGTTACGAGAAGAAGGTATTTGAATACCATGTCCCCTCCTGCTGGTCTTCGGAAGGTCCGGCTTTTCTCGCCCGCTAGAAACGGTCCGTTTCAAAACAGGTCGTCAGATATCAGCCCAGTTGACGGAGTTAACGAAGATAATTGATCGTCAAATACCAATTACATTTGACGACATGCATGGCATGTAGTTAACTTCTCCAGAGAACGTTGTGGTACGAGGTCGAGCGCAAAGTGGGCCCGTTAGCGTAGCTGAAGAGCCTAGCCTTGACCAGCGGCGAAGGAGATGCGGAGGTGCAAGGATACAAGGGTGCTGTCCGGTCACCTGCCTGGGAGCTAAACGCATGGTCTGTCTTTTAGAAAAGCTTGAAATGTGGAGTAGCGAAATCGAATTTGAAATAAAACCACATTGTTGATGTACAAGCTGGAAGTAGAGTCAATACTTGATACCATCACAGAGCCGAGAACCAGTAGTGGCGAGGCAGCAATTTCGAGATGATTACAACTCAATTGGAAGTGCTAAAGGGTTCTTTGATGGTATCCGGGCATGGTAAATATTGGATATATCTTACTTGTTTGTATCCCTTCTATACATACTGCCTGAACATGATTTACTCTTGAACCCAGAGCCTATTTCTTGTTGGTCTTTCCCATAGCAAGCAGCGCATCCTGGTCCCTGATACCAGCCAGTTGTCCCTGTTGCGCACGCTTGACCGTAAGCGCAGCAATGAGCGCAGCACCAACACCGGAACCGTCCTCGGCAGGTAGCACCTCAATAGGATCGTTCTTGCCCTTTCCGTACTTGGCTGGCCAGTCCATAATTTCCTTCAGTGCCTGAGCTTGACGAATCTTGAAGTGAGGATACTTGCTGAATACGGAGCCGTCAGCGCCAACATGTACCTCGCTCCATTTCTTGTGCTTGCAGATAGCGGAGACACCACAGGCAGTCAGACGAGCAGCGCGGGTACCAATCAACTCAGCAAGTCGACGGATGAGCTCGAGTTCAGGCTTAGTGCATGTGATACCAAGTGTCTCCTGGAACAGATCGGCCGTATCTTGCAAATTCTCGAAGCGGTCTTCTTCGATCTGAGAGAGGAAACCAGCATCAAGAGAGTAAGGCTTGTCGAGCTTGCTGGCATTCTGGCCTTCGAACATGGAGCATTCTGTACCCTTGTGAAGATCCAAGAGGACTAGACGGAAGATCTCGCCAAGGTACAGACCTGCAACCATCTTTTCAAAAGTCTGTTGACCCGGCCGAGGCGACTCCTTGTCAATTATAACATCGTACTTTGTCCGTGGTAGAACTTGGTGTTCGTTGTCAAAGGCGCCCCATTCGCAGTTGATAGCCATTGGTAGTTTTGGGTCCAGGTTCATGTGCTTCAGCTTGGGAATAGCACCACACTCCTCCATGTAGGCAGCGTTACACCCCGTACCGAAGATGCAACCAATCTTGATGCTGGTATCGGTATACGCTGAGGCAATCATGGTACCGGTAGTGTCGTTGACCAGCGCTGCGAGTTTGATAGGCACGCCGCGTTCCTCCAGGGCTGCCTTGAATCCAGGCACAACGTCTACACCCTCCACGCCTTGTACGTCGAATCCCTTGGTCCATCGCTGTAGGACACCGTGGTCAATAGCATCTTGCGAGACAGGGTACGAGAAGGTGAAACCGAGAGGAAGATCGGCGAGCTGCTCGCCCTCGTGGTGGTATTCGATGAATTGCTGGAGGCAGTCGGCGACATAGCCCCATAGCTCATCGGCAGTTCCAGTCTTCAGCTCCTCGGGCATACGGTACTTTGATTGTATGATCTCAAACTCTCCCTTCTCTTCCGTCAGGGTAACCTCACAAACACGTAGGTTCGTACCGCCCATGTCAAGCGCAAGATATTTTCCGGTCTCGTTGCCATCGGGAAAGGCCATGCACCAAGTCGGGATCATAGGCTATCTATGTCAGTGTTCTGCTGCTAGCTCTGCTAGTGAGCTGCAACTTACAATGCTTCCGCCTTGCTCTGATAGTCCCTTCTCCAGCTCACTAACAAAGTGATCCGAGATGTGCTTAATCTTTTCCGTGGAGACGACAAACTGCTCCTCCAGCTTCTCGATCTGCTCCTTCAGATCCCGGGGCATGTCCGCCATTGAGCCTAACACAGTTGTCATTCCCTCAGTCTTTGTCGTAGTAGGCTTGGAACATACCCTTGCGGGAAGGGGGTTTCTTTGCACCTAGCAACACCATGATTGCAGCTGTGAGGGTGAATTAGGTATGACCGGTTTTATCGTAATTTATCGTAATAGGCGTTGGGTGTCGAGACAAAAGTTGAGGCTGATAGGTGGGAGGCTTCAGTTGCTTGTCAGTGTCGGTACAATGACGATATGCCTGTGGAGATGCTAGGACTGAAGGGAACCGCTCGGCCGTCATGTTCCGCGGGCATTCCCACTTTTTGTAGACGAGATTTGCTTTCTCCACCAGCCCAGGTTGCTTTTGGAAGTAGTATGGGGAGAGCTCAGCTTACCGAGACTGTGTTATCATGCACCGTCCACGGTCAAGTCCGCCAATGGCTGGTAAGGATTATTCAACAAACGTTCAAGCTCAATCGGGGTTGATGGGAACTGAAGCAGAAGAAAGTGTAGGATGCAATTGGAGGAAGCGGAATCGGAGAAGGGGGGGAGGGATGGATACGCTCGAAAGCCATGTTGAGCCCCGCCATCCCACGTAACATGGTTGGACACACCTCCGAGCTTGGAGTGCCGCAATGGACCCCGCCACCCTGTCCACCGCCTTTGCTCAATCATCCTTGGCTTCGGACTCGATGCTTTTGCTTCGTACAACACCTCACCGCAACACATTTGCGTGCTTCTCAACCGGAGAAGCTCTGCGTATTCGGCATCACGCACTAGGAATCGCTTGTTTTTGAATCGTTATTTAAACATGAAAACCCAGTGTCTGGATACCCAGACACCGGCATAAAAAACCTCATTGTGTTCCTGCACGGGTATCATTAACGCCAAGACCCGGGCTTTACGCCATGCCCAATACCAGTACCAATCCCCTTGCCTGTCATCATGTGTACGCTGCTTTCAGGACACCTTCTGCAAGTGTCCGGGCAGCAACTGTCGAGGGCCACCTGAACTAATAGTACTTTGCCTTCTGCTTCCCGCTCCACTATCGAGTCCAGCACTCAGCGGTGCCCCAAAGCCCGCACTCTGTGGAAAATGTTCGTTGGTTGCGCTCAGAGGTGCGCCCATCATACCCAATCCCATTCCTCGTCCGGTACTCGCGTTGTCTCCCCCTGAGAACATGGAACCTCCTCCACCAGGCGGCGCTCCCAGTGCAGAACGAATCATGCCCTTCATCCGTATATATTGGTATTTCGATCGTTGAGACGTGTGAGTATACGTTGCCATGGGACGCGGTCGGTGTCGGCCCAGGGCGGCCATGATCGAATCTTTCTCTTCGTCAGAGTCAACAGCGCCCGAGGGCTCGAGGTCTTCGGGAAGAGGAGCGTTTGCGTCGATGAGTGATCCTGAAGCAAGGTTAGCATGTGCTCCTCTCGACACTGGTTGTCAAATGGCATACTTTGTATCTTGGCCTGGTTCTTCTTTTGGTACTGCGCCAACAGCATATCGTACGGCAGACTACGTCCCGGGACAGCCCTCTTGAGACCCATGGAGTGGCTCTTGCAAGTCAAACTCCTGGCGCAGTATCCACCGTTTGGTAGAGACACACCACATTGCCTCTCGACGTCGACTGGCCCTTTGGGTTTCGCACCCTTTTGCTTGGGTTCGTCCTTCTTCTTCTTCTTTGCGTTGGGCGCCTTTTCTGCATCACCATCAAGCTTCCGTTTCTTACCCTTCTTTGCGCCGTCGCCATCCATGGAAGCGCCTTTGATGGCCGACTTGCGCGACTTACCACTTTCGTCGTCTTCACCTTTCTCCTTTCTGAGCGCAGCATCTTTAGCCTCCTTGGCTTCTTTCTTCTTCTTCAGCTTCTCTTGCTTCTTGTGGAGACACTCGCGGATATGCGTTGCTGACGATGCGCGGAGCACTGGCCGCCGACAGTGCTTGCATTGTACTGTGTCTACTTTGTCATCTAACGGGCGGCCGCTGGGAAACCCAGAGATGGTCTTCTCGTCGAGAGGGTTGATCACAGGCGAAGTCGTCGACGATGCGGGGGCTTTGTTCTCAATATCTAACATTACATTAGCATAGTATAGACGATATGCATGCACATGGTGCGCTGCACACAGAGTGTGGCATACTTGTCGCATCGCTTTCCTTCCAGTTGCCCGGTAGCGATGGTTTAGGCACCGGCTTCTTGATCCTCAACCTGATCCTCGACTTTTCCGACTTTACGACGCCTTTGACCAGACTCTTGTCTAGCAGGCCTGCGGCTCCCTCCGAATTCGTAGGAGTTTCTATAGCGCATTAGTGCCAACGCGCGTGTGGGGTGTGGACACTGCGGCGTGAGCTCACCCTTTCGCGCCCCATTCGCGGCCATGGTCACGGCTGCTTAATGTCGGCGGAGCCCTTTACTGGGCTTCTGAAGAGGTTCCCAAGGTCGCCCGGAACGTGATATCAATATTGCCGATGCCCGGTTGCTTGCAAGGAATGAATCCAGATGGGTATAGACGCGCGTGTTGTTGAAAGCCTCGGATCGGTTGTCGCCCGGCGATGACGCGCTAGTCCAAACCGGTCGATACATCACATGCGCGCGCCATAGTTGCTCTAGGATCAATCACCAAACAGCCTTGAGCATGACACCGAGTATTGCATGCATAGTTGAAAAGTGAATATTTCTCTTTATCTCACAAAAATATATTGTTTGGCCGATTGTTGCAGTGATAACCCACCATGTAGCTGCATATAGTACTGTCAAGTCAAGACAGAATGCGCAGTTCCAAGATAACCACCCAATGCATACCATGGCATACCCAGTCAATCGAGGCCGAAACTTCCAGTCGACCACTCTAGCCCCATGTCATATCCTGTCAAACGCCTTGAAATGCATGTACCGTATTCTGAGCGCCATTGCTCTTGGTATCAACGCTCCGAAATTCGCCAAAAATATGCTGTTTCGTCATTCGTAAATATACGCAGGTATTTCAACCTTCCAGTGTGGCGCTTTCGAGCTTGATCGTGATGAAAGACTTGCAAGAATGTGTAGATCTTGCCGCTATGAGGTTTTGGGCAAGTTCACAGGTTGTTTTCACCATAATTAACCTCTTGCATATGCTTGTTGCGCTTAGACATTAGCGTCCACGGCCCTTAGCCTTGTTCGCTTTTGCAGTCTTCGCTTTGCCCTTCTTAGGTGGCTCGTACTCCTCGAAGTGGTTGTAACCAAACTCATCACGCATGATGCTGTTGGTCCAGTGGAGACAACGATCCTTGGGAGCTTCGTCAGCCTGGGTCTTGTTTCGCGTCGACACCCGGGGCTTGTTGTCGTCCTCATCTTCTTCCTCCTCGGACTTGTTGGACTCTTGTAGATGTTGCTGCATCTTCAGCATGTACTCTGCAATGCGATCACGGAAAGCCTGCAGCTCTTTACGCAGCGCACGTTCCCGTAATCCGCGCTCATCCAACCAGGCCAACAGCTTGTCAATGTCTTCGGGGTCATCGTAGTATCCCCACTCAGTAGCCGTGGAGAGATGCGTAGAACCTTCCTCGCGCTCTTTGCGCTGAGGGACAGTGTAGCCGAAACGCTCCATGTCTTGGGTGAGGGCAGGCTCCTCCAGATTCGGACCCAATTCATACTCGCTAGGACCCTGTACCCAGATTCGCCCATTGGCGTAGCCATACTCAGAAGTAGAGCTATTTGGAACACCACCAAAAGGCATGCCGTTGTGTTCAAACCAGTAGTACTTGTTGAGGAATCGGTCCTTGCCAAGAACCTTGCTGCGGTGCACCAAAGTCTCACGGAGATCATCGTCAAGTTCGTTGATGTTGGCCTCGCAGTCCTTGAGCTCATCCTTCTTTCTCTCGATAGCCGCCAGAAGCTTTTCCCATTCCTTTTGCTTCTTGTTCCTCTCGGCCTCGGCCTTTGCCTTCTTGACCTTCTCTTTCCGGGCATCTTCGGCGGCAGCCTTGCGTTTGTTCTTGTTTGATGGACGAGTTCTTGTTTTGGAAGCAGTAGTATCATCTTCATCGTTGGCCTCGGCAGCAACTACATCTTTGGTGTCTTCGTTAGCACTGACCATGGATACGTCTGCTTCTTCGCTCGCCTTGGCCTCAGTGGGTGATGCGGGAGTGTTATCGGGCAGATGGATCTTTCGCTCCAAGTCCAACTTGCACAACTCATCGGCCAACTCCTTCCTCTTGCGCTGATACTCAATCTTCTCCTTCCGCAGACGAGTCATCTCCTGAGCGGCGGCAGTGAGTTGATCTCGGAAGTTCTCAGTGCCAACAGTCAAGCTAAGAATCATCTCAAGTGCCGAGATGCGGAGATTGACGTCCAGGTTGTTATAATTCTCGGCAATGGTGAGGGTGGTGGATTCCTCCTCCTCTGGCGGGACCAATTGCGCAAGAATCTCATCACAGGCCTCTTTCCTGGCAGGGTCAAAGGAAAGACGATGGAGTAAGGCTACGATAATGGACTGCCACCCGCCCTCAGTGAAGTTGCGCACCTTGCACTGCTCGATCCAGTCAAACTCTGCAACGAATTCTGCAGCCTTATGAATCTCCTTCGGTGGTTCGGGTGTGGGCGTGCGTTGTTTTGCAAGTAGCTGTGCAGCACCCGACTTCCTCAAGCTGCTGCGGGTAGTCCTAACTGGTGGCTCAGGCTCAGGCTCAGGCTCAGGAGTCGGGGTTGACTCGCTGCTGGACTCCTCATCCGACGAGTCGTCATCCAGGTTTGGCAAGGAACTCTGAATTTTCCCTGACTCATTGATGATTTGCTTCAGTATAGCACAGTGCATCTCAACAAACAGTTCACAATCAACCGTTTCGTGCGAAAAGCGCATGGCATCGACGAAGTCGTCGAACGTGAAAGAGTCGAGCATGTATACCGTGTCATGGACGTTGAGCGTTTCCCAAATGCATAGCAGCGGCCCAATGCTCTTCATTAGAATGCCCGTCTTCTTTTCTTCGGGAGGAGGCTCGACTCCATCGGGTACATCATCAGAGAAGAACTTCAAGGGTGGCCTATTTACTTGAAGACGGGGATGTTTAATTTCGAGATCTTCGCACGGGTACTTGATATATTCGACAGGGCGAGCTGGTGGAGGTGCTTGTTGCGGTTGTGCAACGCTCGAGGGTCTGGGCGCCTGTTGATGAGGAAATGTGGTTTGGAATGGAAAGTTGACAGGATGACCATTTCCCTGTGGAGGCATCTGCATCAGATGGGGAGTTAGATGCGCCGGGAGATTGGATAATACCTGATGTGGCTGTCCAAAGGTCTGGATAGGCTGTGGCCCGTTGTTGTACATGGGCGGCGCATTGAACAAGTACTGTGGTGGTGGAGGGCCATTCAGAGCCACGAAAGGATGAGGCAGATTTTGTTGGGGGTAGGGAGGTGCATTTGCAGAGAAGTTGACGAATGTGGGCTGACCTGGTCCGGGAGGAAGAGGTGGCCTTTGGCCATTCACGTGGGGGCTGTGACCGTTTGCTACGTGCGGTGGGTACGGCTGTTGAACCGCCTGGGTCGCGCCGTTAGGTATACCGTGGGCAGCCTTTCTAGCAGCGATTATAGCCTCCCGTGTCTTGTTATCGGGGATCTTGGTTGGAATATCATAGCGTTTGGCTAAACTGTCCTTGACCATCCATGGGGCTTTGAGCCAGTCCTCACGTTTGAGGGCATTACGAAGAAAGGCCTTTAGAAGGAGCTTTGAGAAAGTTTTCTTATCTCGGTGGAGGTCTGAAGCTTTGTACTTTGTTACGTTTTCCCCAGTGTCTTCCATGGTGATTACGTAAGTGTACGTTCGGATGTTGTCGTCCATCGATTGGCCAGTGAACATACTGTGCATTCGACTGTTGTCTGTGATCTGAGTAATTGTACCGAATCGGCGTGGATTGTCTCCCTCGATAGATACACGGTCATGCAGCATAAATTGCTCCTTGAAATGCTACAAAGACGAATTAGTACCATAGTCTCCACTGCTTGTTTGGAGATGCAAACAGCTTACATCGTAAACGTCATTTACTTCAAGATGTATTAGCAAAATAACTGTTGCAAATATGGAGCTTGAACTTACCTAGGTCGTCTATGCGCTCGTGATCCTGAAACTGGACATAGTGAAGAACAGGAGACTTCAAGCTATCAGGGAAGATGCTATTGATCTCTTTGGAAGCTTCCGTCTGCACGGATGTTACCTCCTCGTCGGCCTTGACGAGTATTGACGTGGAGCCTACCTCGCTCTCTTGGGCCTCGAAATAAGTGTAACCGGAGTGCCCAGTCGCCTGACATGTGAAGCTTCGCTACGATCCGATTAGCCGTTTTGCGCCCAATTGTTCGAACTGTGGTTCTCTTGCCTGTTGGTAGAAGTCCAGCCTAGATTGTGTTAGTAACGTCCTTGTGCCTGACGTCATTTCCATGAATATCTTACCGCTCGAGGTAGCGCTCATAGTCGACAAAAACCTCTCCAGTCTGCTCGATATGCCACACCTAACCAATAGTCTTAGTATGTATGCTCTTCGGCTTCATCCAGTTATGTGACCCACTTCGGCATTATCGTCGAGATTTTTGGGCCGGGGTTCGAGTTTGACGGGTTTGCGCTTGAAGAGAACCTAAGCAATTATCAGCAGATGCTCATGTGCATGCTGCGACCTAGTATATACCATCTTGAAGTGAGCACCAGCTCATGTAGGGCTCTCGGCCTCTAGTGAACCGCGTCGCAAACTTCGGAAGCGTCGCGATGGTCGGAGCGCGTAGGTTGTGCTTTGCGGGATACAATGTACAAAGAAGCGGAAGCAATGGCCTCTCCGCGAGCGACTGTGCGACTCTGTGCTTTTCACGCGTCAGAAAACGATGTCCACAAATTGCTGTCGCACTCTTCGGTGATCCGAAAAGCGTTCCGAGACGCGTCTTCCCGTTCCGAAAGCGCGTCTGAGAGGTTCGAGGCTGCCAGCGAGAGGTTCGGGCGCGGTGGTTGGTCAGGCGGGCGAGAGGGTGGACAGCACCAGTCGGAGGGCAGTCAATGGGAACAAAAGTGAGTGGAAGGTAGTAGGAGAAGCCCATAGTCCCTTGGCGCGAGGTGCCATACTAGATGCGGTAAGGACCGTCTTCGCACCCTACCACCTACGCCCCGAAGCTACGCACCCCACCACCATCACGATATCGACGTATTTGGACTCGTTCTTGTCGTAAAAATGAGGACAATCAGGCTGCAGCATACATGCGCCAATTTTTTTATGGCATGTCAAATAATTTCTCATTATCAAGTGGCAGTGAAGGCCGGCCATGGAGATGCTCCATGCCGCGAGCCACCTTGAGCAAACCCTTGAGCAGGCTGACCCACTTGCTGGGACACGCCATCCTTATACCCGCCTCTAGTCACATACGGCCTTGCTGGACCACGTGCAACCAAAGAGCCGTATACTCTGAAAGACAGCGCAGTATCAAAATGACTTGACAGGATATCCTACCTTGCTTTGCCCTTGATGTCTACGTTTCTCTCCTCCAACTCACCAAGTATGATAGTTGAAGCTACTGAGTATTTGGAATGTCGGAGTGAACGTCTCTCGGGAGCCAGCCTTCCAAACACCTTATTCCCTGTAAGCTTATCTGACTTGACATAGTATATGGTGGATTGGAAACGAGCTGACATGTCGGCCAGACGAAGTCACTTGAACGATATTGGTGACCGACACAGTAAATGAACAGCAAAGAGCACAGTTAACAATAGAAATGTGGCCTATTTGGATTTCGTGTTACAAGTCGAAATATACTACCAAGAAGCCAACCCAACTACCCACTACACCGATGGCAGAGTAAGAGCTCGTAAACATGAGCGGCAGGAACTCATAGCGGGACCCGAACACAAGGCCGTGAACAAGTGAACAATACGCAATCAAAGGTATCGAAAGCGTTATGTAGAGCAACGAGAAACGATCGAGCAGAAAGATGCGAGGTTTGGGTGATCTAATAGGTTAGCATATACTCGGACAAAGATCAGGGGTTGCCTACGCTGGAGCTAGCCTGTCAAAGGCAATTAGAAACAAGACAAGCCAGAAAATTGTATAGACTGTCTTGATGGGAAACTCGGTTGCAGTAAACAGTAGCGGGAATAACGACACGTGACCAGCAACAGCCAAGGGCCGGAAAGCTCCATAATACCTGCGATCTTGAAGCGCTATCAGGCTGAAGGGAATAATGACAAGCAGAATCGCCTTTTCGTGGACGTGCCAGCCGAAGAGAAACGACGCATAGCCACAGAGCGTGACGGCGCCGACAAAGGCTTCCCAGGTGGGCTTGAAGAGGAGTCGGAGAAGAACAGGCTGAAGGATGTTAGTTGAGTCGACTGTGTGAAGTGGCAGCGTGCATACTATCTGCGCTCCGAGCGTAAGGAGGAAGCAAGTCAATGGAACTATGTCGGGAAGCACAGCAAAGGAGGTGTCTCCAACTAGACCTCGTGTTACACTATTCACTGCCTCCTGATCGACATGTAATCCGAGCCGTGGTGCCACTGTCCACGTTAGTGTTGCCAAGGAAAAGATGGAGGTTATTTTTTTTACAGTAGATCAGCACCCGGTCGGTAAAGGAATACATCGCCCAAACGTTTGGCGCCCAGTAGGCATGACACAATCCGCGGGAGAAGGGGAACAGGCGACTGATCACTTGCCCCAGCTGACCCCATAGTGCGAATGGACCAAAGGCTGCTGCGAATACCGTAATGATGCCGACTCCTAGTTTGATACAGTTGAAGAACTGAATGTTGAAGTAGGGAAACGACGAGCGATTACCCAGACAATAAACACGTAGGAGATGGACAAAATAGGCAGGCGCGAGATACAAATAGATGTGCTTGAAGCATAGGAGAGCAGCAAAGAGAAGGCCAGACAGCAGAAGGGTAGAGTTGTTGCGTGCTAGGACCATTGACAATACTAGGATACCATAGAGAAAGCCATTATACTGGAAGTGGATGTGGTCGATGATTAGCAGTCCCGGAGACAAGAGAACTGAGAGAGCAGCAGCATGGGCTGTGACTTTGGACTTGGACGTCTTCACGTAGCTAAAACGGACTTAGCATAGAGTGTGTCACGTAGGGTGGGATGGCGGTACAGATGCAAAGCGTAGACCAGAACCAGTTCAGTGAGGATGACGGTAGTGCGCTGGAAGTAGATGGTCTGCCAGCTGTCATAGCCCAAGTCTTTGACGTTAAGCAAGCCAGCGTCAGCATATGCGGCGGCTTGAGACAAAAGCCACTCAAAGTAGGCGAAGAAGGGCGGATAATCCAGGGTCCATTCCGAAGTTTTCTGTTTGTGCGGTTAGAGGTTGATGACTTGGCAGTGGATGCTATTGGACATGGCAGTCTGACTTCATAGTACCACTCTTTGATGGGCAGGGAATGGGTTAGAGCTAGCCAATTGCGGTGGACCTCAAAGTCGGTCGACTTGCTGCCGAAAAAAGGTCAGCATGAGAGGGTTGGGGGGTTTGGGCGTGTGGTGCGGCAGACGTACTATGCAGGAAACAGTAGCACCTTGAGCGCCGTGGCCACGACGGCGCACTGGGCAAGCGAGGGATACAGCTCTGCCATGGCGAGACTGACAGCGGGTGAAGGCACAATGGGCAGAAAGCACAGATTAAGTTGAGGATCGTAGTCAGAGTCACGTGCTCGCTTACGGGCGAACCCCGGTCGTGGAACGGCGGTGGTTGTACTGTAAGTGCTTGGTAGTAAGGAGTTACTGTGTAGTAGCAGCAAGCAGTAGCAAGCATACCAAGACCACCGCAGCAGGGCAAGTGCTTGTGTTTGGAACTACATACACCCACGCCTGCGGCTGGCGCGACGGGGACAAACGGGCAAAGAAGCAAAAGCAGATTCGAGAACAATGCAAACGTGAACGGGCGCCAGGGGAGAGTGGGTGTGGCAGACGGCGCTGACAGTTTCGCATAATAGTGTCTGACGTTTGACACACGGCATAGGCTCCGCTCCGTCTTTGTTCCCCTGGGTGCAAAATGCTCCACGCGAGCGGTTTCCTGCCTCGCACACCTGTTCGTTACCCCTCGGCACTAGGGGGGAGGGTGTTTGGCTAAGTATGCTGGAGACTGGAGCCGCAATTTGATCTGGACCCGCTGGCGCTGGCGGTGGGTAGCATGGCATGGCAGGGCATGGCATGGCATGGTATGGTATGGCATAGCACGGCAAAGCAGCACGATAGCACTATTAGTGTGGCGCGCACCCACGATGCAGCGACATTGCACCATGTGGAGTGTGGTGTGTGCAAGAAAGTAAGTAAGTAGGTACTTGGCCACCAAGTACCGTTACTACTTACTGTACAGCATGTATCAGCGTGGCCCGTCTAGTCAGGGACCAGAGCTGCACGTCTGCAATTACCCGCTGGCTGCAGCTGCTCGAGGCAAAAACGCTCCGAGCAAGAGACACGGTACACGGTACACGGTACCCTCGCTCCGTCCAGCACCACCAGCACCACCCCCTCCACCTCCCCGGCACGCGAGCCATCCCATCCACGCCGCGGCGACTGGCGAACTGGCGGACTGGCACTGACCTGGACACCGACACATTCACTAGCAAGTAAATACTGGCACACACACACACCCACATCCCACGGCAGGGCGGCGCCTGGTGTCGAGGGTGGCATTGTCCGATTCAGTGGCGGGCCTGCGCGTTTAAAATAAGCAGAGCGCTAGCCGTCCGCTTTTGGAGGCCTCATTTGCGCCTGCCTCCTAATGGACCCTGCTAGTGAGCATTTCTCACCGACCTCCTCCTGCTCTCTCCTCCCCACCGTGTCAGGTCGCATCCCTCTTCTTCGATCCCTTCATTCATTACCTCCTCTTCTCCCCCGCATCGACGCTCCTACGCTCTTGCACAAGGCGCGCTTCTTTGCCCTTCCTTCTTGTCCTTGTCCCATCGTTTGGTGCACGTATCAACACAAGCCACGCGGGTTTCTTCTTCGCCAGCTCGAGGCCACAGCATTTAATTGCCTTTCACCCCCGCCGCTGCCATTGGCCTTCCATCCTTACCTCGACCGTGTCGCCTCGCTCGCCCGCCACCGCGAGCCTGTGCCTGTGCACTCGGCATTCCTGCAACCCATCCCATCCAGTCCTTGTCTGGGTTGGTCCACAGCACTCGCCGCCATTGTGCCTTCCCCAGTGCGTCTCCTCGCCTCCTTTCGCTTCTGCACCATGTCAGACTAACCTCGCTCCCCAGATCGCTTCTTACTAGTTGTAATACAGCAGCATACTTCGCACGCCTAGCGACCACCCTGCAACCGGTTGCACCTTCCCCTTCTGCCATACATATTTCGTCGTCCGGTCCAACGAGTCCCGGGCGCAGTAATACATCTTCACCACGGCGGTTCTATCTCAAAACCCGCGGGACAGCTTCAGCCTGCCCCCGCACCTTCTCGATATGCAGCAGCACGACGGTGCCCCTACCGCGCCCAGCGGCCCCCGTCTTCAGACTGGTTTCCCCAGGCAGGTCAATGGAGGCCACCACGGCTTTTCCCACGGTGCCTTTGCTACCAACCAGCCCGGCTATGGTGACAGGCACCCGGAGAGGGCCAACAACATGTCCATCAACACCGGCAGACTTGCCCCGGGCAACCAGAATGGCGCTGATTTGCAGACTCCTGGAACCGGTTTCGACATGAACTTCACTCCTCTGCTGCCTTCGCAGTTGCTTCTCGGCAGCCCTTTCCAGCCCGGTTCTCCCTCTGCTTTTGCGTCCCCGCAATTCCAGAATTTTGCCCAGTTTGCGAGCCAGAACCAATCGCAGCAGCAGAACCACCAGTCTAACCACGTTGGTAGCCCTCTGCAGCAGCCTCTCTCGCCCCAGCTGTACCAAAACATGGTTTCTCCTACAAGTGGCTTTTTCGGTGGCCCACAGTCTCCTACCGGAGGCTTCTCTGGTTTCGGCGCGCAGGGCCTTGGTGGCCTCGGCTCCTCCATGCCAATTGCCCCTGGCCTAGTCTCTGGAACCAGCAGGACCGTCTACTTGGGCAATATCCCCCCAGAGACATCTGCGGAGGAAATTTTGGGTCACGTCAGGAGTGGCCAGATCGAGTCTGTTAGGCTTCTTCCTGATAAGAACTGCGCCTTCATCTCGTTCTTGGATAGCAGCTCGGCTACGCACTTTCACTCTGATGCCATCTTGAAAAAGCTCTCCATCAGGGGTCAGGACATCAAGATCGGGTGGGGAAAGCCTTCGCAGGTACCCACATCTGTGGCCTTGGCAGTACAGCAGTCTGGCGCTTCTCGTAACGTCTACTTGGGCAACCTGCCAGAGGATGTTACCGAGGATGAGCTCCGTGAGGATCTCAGCAAGTTCGGACCCATTGACACTGTCAAGATTGTCCGAGAAAAGGCTATTGGTTTCGTTCATTTCTTGTCGATCGGCAATGCCATCAAGGCTGTTTCCCAGCTCCCCCAGGAGCCCAAGTGGCAGGCTCCTAGGCGTGTATACTACGGCAAGGACCGCTGCGCATATGTTTCCAAGACACAGCAGCAGAACGCTGCTCAGTACTTGGGCATTGCACCTGGATATGCACACGTTCTGAACGGTGCGGACCGTGATATGATTTCCAACGCCCTCGCCCAGCAGTCCGTAGCTGCGGCTGCAGTAGCAACCTCAGCTGGTGGTGTGAACAACCTGGGTAACCGAACCGTCTACCTAGGCAATATCCACCCGGAGACCACCATCGAGGAGATTTGCAATGTTGTGCGCGGCGGCCTTCTTCACCACATCAGGTACATTCCTGACAAGCACATTTGCTTCGTTACATTCATCGATCCCACTTCTGCAGCGTCCTTTTACGCTCTCAGCAACCTACAAGGTTTAATGATCCACAACCGCCGTTTGAAGATTGGATGGGGCAAGCACTCTGGCGCTCTTCCCCCTGCTATCGCCCTTGCCGTCAGCGGCGGTGCTTCCCGCAATGTTTACGTTGGTAACCTCGACGAGTCTTGGACTGAGGACCGTCTGAGGCAGGATTTCTCCGAGTACGGCGAGATCGAGTTGGTCAACACTCTGCGCGAGAAGAGCTGTGCCTTTGTCAACTTCACCAACATCGCCAACGCCATCAAGGCTATCGAGGCAATCCGAGGCCGCGAGGAGTACAAGCGGTTCAAGGTCAACTTCGGCAAGGACCGATGTGGTAACCCTCCCCGCCAGATGACCAACCAGCAATCGCAGTCTCAGCAAGCCGGCAGTGATGGTCTCCAGTCGCCTTCACCCATCAACGGTCTGCACCCCAACCGCGCTGGTGCGTCGGTCTCGCCCACTGGCTCTGGCGCTCCTGGCTCTGGTCAGAGCACCAACGGACAGTTTCCCTCTGTTCAAGCCCCTGCTTCAGGCAATATTCTGAATGCGAGCAGCAACAACAACCCGTTGATGATGTATCTCCAGGCTCAGCAGCAGCAGGCTCAACAGCAACAGGTAGAGGCCAATATGCAACAACAGCAGAACCAGCAACAACAACAGCAGCAACAGCAGCAGCAGTCGTTCCAGTCGCCCCAAGCTGCCTTCTACGGTGCTGACTTGAACACACCTCAGCCTCACCACTCTCACAGCTCTCACCAGAGTACCTCAAGCTTTAGCCTGATCAACGGTACCTCTGCTGGTGGCTCTGGAACTACCACTGTTGGCGGTCTTCTTGCACCCTCGAACCTCAACTCTCGTGGTCAGCACTCCCGTGCTGTGAGCCTTCCTGCCTTCACCCAAGGGCCTTTCAACCACTCTATGCCACAGACCCAAGCTCCTCAACAAGGATCATTTGGTAGTCTGAGTTCGGGCATTGGTGGGTTTGGCAGCGGCAATGGTGGCTATGGCCTTGCGATCCAAGGCGATGGTGGCTTGCCTGGATGGGCTGAAGAGGAGGTTGGTGCACAGTAAGCGCCCATGGCCATTTTGGATACTCGCAAATGTCATGTTCACATTAGCGATATCTGATTCAAATCTACGACGTCAACTTGCTGGTTACCACTTACCACTTACCTCCCTTCTTTCTTCCTTTTTTGCAAATCTTTTTGAACCTAGGGTACTCGCGGAAAGGGCGTCGCTCTATTGATCTATCGTGGATCTCACTCTTCAACTATGTGTTGTAATTTGAACATGCGCGTTCTTTGCCTTAATACTTGACCTTACCACCTTCGCTTACTCTTTCTTTTCTTCTTTTCTTTTACACTTCTTTTTTTCATGGTTTGACATGTTTTTGTTCATGTTTGTAGTTTAGATACCTGTAGGGATACCTAGGGACAAATAGGTGTAGGGGCATGAGACTAGCACAGGGTCGACATGAGTGTCTAGGCAGGAGTTCGCCAGTGATGTTGGCAATTGGATTTTGTAAAAGCTCAAATGTGTGTGTGTAATGCTGTTGTTTAGTGATGAGTGGTGAATACACATGCAAGATCCTTCCTTTTTCCCACCAATTAAACATGGAATTGGTCACTAAGAAACAGACCATGAACAGTATCTGGATGAGGTATTCGTACTTTGAGATGCCATAACGGACTTCCGTTGCGTACATGCTTTCTTGATTAGAATATATGCGTGTCTCTAAGCTAGTATTTGACGATCTCCACTGAGCAACCGGCTGCTTGGATATAGTCCACGCAGCATGCGATTGTGGAATGTTTCGCATAACCACACATGTCAAAGCGAGACATTGAGTGTTGCTCTATCCCGTCCAAATAACACTCGGGGAAAAAAAAAGACCAAAAAACTCTCAGCCCCGGATTCTCAATGCATCACACCACATATGCACCGCCTGGTCGCGCTGCAATTCCCTCTTCACCTCAACCCTAGCCGCCATCATAAACTCCCTAACTTCCGAGCGCCCCAAATCCCTCCCTTCCTTGATCCTCCCCCAACACTCACGAATAACCTTCTGCGCATACTCGAAATCAACGTCGCCCTGCTCAACGGCATCCAACGGCGCCCCGTTCTCCACCGCCGCGTACGCAGCGTCAGGTCCCTCATCTGCGTCTTCCGCCCCGACAAGGGTGGTAATGCAGAGAATTATACCAGGCGAAAGCATTGCTCCCGACTGCGGTCCCTCGCGCGTAGCCCGCAGTTCGCCGAGCTGGATAGTGCAGAGGCCCGCGGTGTAGGTGGTCCCGTCGCGAACGGAGAAAACATGGCGCTGAGCCCACAGCGCCGAAGACTGGTTCCGCAGCATCGAGGCGTGCGCTTCTTGCTGGCGCAGCGGAATTGAAGCGGTTGTTGCGGGTTGTGCGGCGGGCTGCGCATAGATGTATGTTCTGGTCGGGGCGAGGGTGGAGAGGTGCAGCATGTGCTGGTACGAATGCGGGTAGGGCGCTGGTTTACCGTCTGCGCCCGTAGGCGGCGTGTAGCCGGGGGGTATCACATCGCGAAAGGCGCGGTAGGAGAGGGACCATGGTTGTTGGCGGGTGGCGGTTTGGAAGGTCGACTCTATGCTTTGGGTGAGGGTTGTTATGGTGGAGAGGGCGGCCTCGACGCTTGTAGAGGGGTTGGAGATGAAGTAGAGCCTGCCTTGTGTTTAGTTATGATTTCCAATTGAGATTTTGGGTAGGTAGGTGGGTAGATGGACTGCTTACCCGCTGTACTTCATCGTGGAAGCGGAGGAAAGTAAAAGGCGATATATTCTCAGGCACCGCGGCGGGTGAAAGGCCGGACATGACGGAGCCGGCGGTTTTGGGGATCGGCGCATGGGCGGCTCTCTTCCCACCCCCTGCTAGCTTCAGGGTCGGGGGACGCGCAACCGCGTCGGGAATCGGCACTCCAGCCTTGTCGTCTCAACCATGGGCTGGCCTGGCCATGCAGCTGCCATGCGTCTCCTGTCTTTCCCATCTCATCTTGGCCGCATCTGTGTCCTATCTTGAGCGTTTGAACGCCGCCACTACATATTTTTTTATAGAGTGTTTGTCCATTGAGATTGTTCGAGCTCATCTTTCCCCGCCGCTATCTGCACCTATTGGGGCACGGCCGTTGCACTTGATCACTTTAACTTTGCTCTTATTTTTAGATCGTACATCTCTTTTGATCCTTTGCTTCATGAGATTCCCTCCATAGACTTCCCCTGGCTATCATGAGCCCCATTGTTCGACGCATCACTGTATTGTTCCTCTCCACGACGTTCTTCATCCTCGCCTTTCGCCAACTAGGCTCTCGAAACGGACTCCCCTCGCCCACCTTTACCTCCTCCAATCGCATCACAAACCCCGTAGAATGGAAGAACGTCCCGCTGCGACACCCAGTCGCCTCGCTGGCGCCGTGGCCGACAAGCTCGCCTACTGCCATCCCGAGAATACAGCATGAGTTTGGAATCGAGACGGAGCACAACAAGGCAGAGAGAAAGCAGAGACAGGCGGCGGTGAAGAAGGCCTTTTTGCATTCGTGGCGGGGCTACAAGCAGCAGGCATGGTTGCAGGATGAAGTGACTCCGGTGACAGGAGGCTTCAAGAATGGCTTCGGGCAGCGTGCAGCGACCCTGGTGGATGCGTTGGATACACTGTACATCATGGGGCTAGACGAAGAGTTTGAGGAGGCAGTCCATGCAGTCAAGAAGATTGATTTCACCACTACGGCTGTCCAGCGGCTGAATGTGTTTGAAACAACCATTCGCTATCTCGGCGGTCTGCTCAGCGCCTACGATTTGAGCAAAGGGAAACACTCTACACTGTTGCATAAAGCAGTCGAGCTAGGCGATATGCTGTACGCCGCGTTTGACACGCCGAACAGGATGCCTGTGACACGGTGGGACTGGGAAAAGTAAGCTTTGTGTGCTTCGTGTGTGTGCAACCACACTGTATACTAACGTCGAGCAGCGCTGCTCTGAGTGGCCACCAAGAAGCCGATGCGCAGGCGCTGAGTGCGGAAATTGGATCACTGACGCTGGAGTTTACCCGTCTCTCGCAGATTACAGGCGACCTCAAATATCACGATGCCGTCCAACGCATCGCGAATCTTCTGGAGAAACACCAGAGTCGGACCAAGATACCCGGTTTATTTCCTATCCTCGTCTCTCCTTTCCGCGAGGAGTTTGATTCTCATGGCTCCTTCACTATGGGCGGTATGACGGACTCGCTGTACGAGTATCTGCCCAAGCAGCACTTGCTTCTTGGAGGAGCAACGGATCAGTATCGCAAGATGTACGAAAAAGCTATTGAGCCAGCCAAGAAGCATTTGTTCTTCCGCGCCATGGTGCCTCATAATCAGCACATTCTGGTTCCAGGTAACGCACGGATTAGTGCTGCAGGCTCAATCAAGCTCGAACCCGACGGTCAGCATCTGGCATGCTTTGCGGGCGGCATGGTTGGTCTTGGTGCCAAAATCTTCAATCGCACTGAAGACATGGACGTCGCTCGCAAACTGGTAGATGGCTGTACCTGGGCGTACGAAGCCATGCCGACAGGCATCATGCCCGAGACGTTCAGCCTGGTGCCGTGCGTCAACGATGAAGACTGCGCCTGGGACGTTTCAAAATGGCATGACGCTGTTAAACGCTCATATTCTAGTGCTCTACATGCACAGCATTATGATGTCCAAGACGTGATCAAGGAAGAGGGACTTCAGCCAGGCTTTTCAAGGATTGAAGATCCCCGGTTTTTGCTACGGTAAGGAGTTTGACTTCTACCCCTTCATTTATAACTTCATCTAATACTGGTATGTAGGCCAGAAGCCATCGAGTCGGTTTTCATCCTCTACCGCATCACCGGCGATACTGCGCTGCAAGATACTGCCTGGCGCATGTTCGAGTCGATTGAGAACGCTACCATGGCAGAGTTTGCCCACTCAGCTATTGCTGATGTGACTGTGCCCAGGGGACAGGGTCCACTTAAGCTAGATGAGTGCGAGAGTTTCTGGATGGCGGAGACACTCAAGTATTTCTATTTGATTTTTAGCGAGCCGAATCTTGTTAGCTTGGATGATTACGTCTTGTAAGTACTTGGTCCCGAGCATGTCTTAGGAATGATGACGCTGACAATTGAATAGTAACACTGAGGCACATCCGCTGCGCCGGCCAAAACAGACTTGATAGTCTGGATATTGTTAGTGGATAATATACGATATCAAGGAAATCTAGCCAATGTACATGTGTGTGTATATGATTACGAGAGCGCGGACACAGCTTGCTTTGCCTCTTAGTAGTATATCTGGAAAGTCCGTTCATGAAGAATCGGACGAACGCTACAGTCGAAATCCCATATAGACATAGACAATTGCTTGTTTGCCCCGCCGTTACAAGATACACAGAAATGCATGATACATGCCAAGACTTTCCTGATTCGATTTAGTGCACTACAACTGCACTTTAGTAGCTTAGTAACACCTAAGGCTCATTAGTAACTCCTCTTTTTGTTCTCTGTCAGCGAGATGTTGTATTTCAAACACATGGTGTGGCTGGCTATAGAGAGTGAGATGCGGGGATGTTTTCGTCCGACTGCTACTGTGCCGACAGCCCCATCAAGCACAGTGCAGAAGCAAAGCTGGAACATACCTGTCTATTTGCTGAATGTCATCTATCTCACGATGCGAGAGGCTGACTATGCCCGGTGCATAGAAGGCAAAGTTTGGCTAAGAAATTTATTGATTACATTCTTCTTTGATGGCAGCTTGGCATGTAGTTGGTGACGAGATAGTCCACAAACAGTACCGGATCACAAATCGTTGAAGTATATAAGTTCTCTTGTTCTCAGAATTCACCAGTACTCTATCCATCTGGAAATTTTAAACTGATCTCGAGTCCACTATTTATCTACACAGGATCATGACAAAGACAATCGCTGTCATCGGCGTAACAGGGAACCAGGTAAGTACGAACCAAGCCCACCACCACCCCCAACATCCTTACACAAGACACTCAACCTCCCCCAGGGCTCATCTGTCGCCCGCGTATTCCTCACGGATCCCAACTGGAAAGTCCGCGGCATCGCCCGGGACCCCTCCAAACCCTCCGCCCAAAAGTGGGCCTCCCAAGGCGTCGACATCGTCCCGGGAAACCTCGACGATGTGACCTCCCTCAAGCAAGCCTTCCAAGGCGCGACCGTAATCTTCGGCGGCACCGACTTCTGGGGCCACCTCAACGACCCGGCCACGCAAAAGCTCGCCGTCTCGCAAAACCGCACGCCAAACGAAGTCGCCTACGACCGTGAGGTAGCCCAGGCGAAATCCATCATCGATGCCGCTGCCGCCAATCTCGAAACGCTAGAGCGCTTCGTGCTATCTACTTTGTCTGAAGCGAGGAAGTGGAGCAATGGGACCATCAAGTGGAACTTGCATTTTGATGCCAAAGCCGAGGCGGTGAAGTACCTCAAGTCGACGTATCCGGAGTTGCTGGCGAAGACGAGTTTCTTGCACTTGGGGTACTATGCTACCAACTGGAAATCGTTTAGTGGGAGGCCGACGAAGCAGGAGGATGGGTCGTTTGTTGTTAGTTTGCCGATGAGTGGGGAGAGGAAGATTCCCATGGCGGATCCGGTTGCGGATACCGGTAAGCTATTCACGTCTCTTTCGTTTTTCTTTTTCGTATCGACTTGATTTTTTTTTTGATTGCGGAAGCTGATATGATTGCAAAGGTCATTTTACCAAGGCACTGGTGGAATCGCCTCCAGGTATCATTCTGAGCGGCGCCGGCTCGTTCATTTCGTTCAATGAATGGTGCGAAATCTTTGGTCGCGTTAACAGTGTTAAATGCACCTTTCAGACTATACCTCGCAAGGCGATGGAAGAGGCAATGGGACCTATATACGGGCTTGAGATTGCAGACATGTTTGAGTACTTTGACAAGTATGGGTTTGATGGTGGGGCTGACGTTGTCTTTCCGTGGGATCTGGGGGTCAAGGTCAAGTATACGACGATGGAGGAGTATATGAAGGGCGAGGACTGGAGTTCTGTGCTGTGAAGCCCTTCTTTGACTGAGGGAGAGTATACCATAGGTAGTGTGCCGATTGAAAGCTATCCTTGTTCATTTGATGACCCTTGCGCGACAATGCTTTGTCACATATTGTCGATTTGTACGAATTCTCTTTGGATTACCACGATCTTCATACCGAGGTCATCAGTAGGGCAAGACCTTTCCGTGGGATGCGGGCCTAGTTGAGTGCGGGGTACATGACAGGCGCGGTTAGTGGCAGCCGTGACAGCAGCGATCGACTCTATCACCCACATCTTTATCCTCACATATGTACTCTGTTATAACCCAAAATCTGACTAACTATATGCAAGGGTCACTGGTGGTCTCCGGAAGCGTCTCATGGCCCGACGATTGGTCAGCGATCAGAATGTTGCTTTTTTGTACCTACCAAGCCGTTTACCTCATCGTCCCTCTGACAACTCGATGAGATCAGTCCACTTCCACGCGAGCCAGATGTCGAAGGTCAATTGCACATGCTGCTTCTCTCTTAAGAACCTTACTTTTTCCACGCAAGCCCAAGGTAGCAAGGGCTCATATGGTGCAGGAACATTATTCCGACTTGGGCCAATGCATGTCACTGCTCAGAGCAATTCACTAGCCTTGACTACGGGATATCACACCACTGCGGCAGTGCAAATGCCGTACTTCCCCAATCACATCGTTTCATCATACCAAATACCAGGAAAGTCTAGAAGGCCGATAGCAACCTTTGTACATTGCCGACAGCGGTAAGCCGCTCCAAGTCAGCCGCGCAGCATGCACCGCACAGGGCTCGAGTGAGAATCCGATCGATTGGTAGGCCAGTGAAAGATAGCCAACTCAATCTGCGCGCTCCTCTGCCAAGAGGATTGGGATTTGGATACTAGACAAGGTTAGCTTCATGCGTTCGCGCAGCGATCTACGCTGAGGGCACCCCCACCACCATTATGCTGATGCTGTGCACACGGCGATACGGACCTATAAGTTGCAGTCGTCATCCATGGGGTTAGATGTGCCATATGCGATCGCCTGCGTATCATCGCAGTCTGCTGATGGCTCTCTTCCCGGGTAGTCGTGCATGTCACCTTGTAATACACGTACTTAAGCGGAAGGCGCCCCGCAGGATGCATTGATAAGGAATCTGTATCTTGTTTTGCTTGCTGTGAAAGGCGTTTGGCTTGATCCATGCTAGCTTTCGTTTGTTTTATCAGTGTGTAGAAGGGCTGGTTGGGCCTATCTTGACGATTTCAGCTTGGGCTGTACAAATCAATTTGTCCCGCCACCTTTGCGGGTATTCTGAGGGCGGAGAGAAAACTATCGGTACCAAAAAAAATTTAAGTAAGAAAAAGAAATAAAAACGGAGTAGTCTGAGATGCCGCTCAATCTTTTGCTGCTGCTGGGCGCGGCTTTCCTCTTTGGCTCGACTCTGGCCCTTCTTCGACGAAGCAGACGCACCATTCTCCTCGAGCGACTCCGTGCTAGTGGGCGAAGAGTATCAGGAGCGAGAACCCCTCCAAGATCTCTATCACCCAGCCAGAAGACGGAAATCCCTCTCGAAGTCGACTATTCTGATTCCTTCCCACCATCACGGCGATCAGCCCTAGCCGGAATCTTGAAAGATGGGGAACTCGACGAGCCAACGGAAGACTGGACGAAGAACATGTTGCCAATGGGAATGTCGTACCTGAAAGCCGATGACACTAAACGTCTCCCCTGCGGTTTTTCCGTCAAAGAAATCAAGGCTCTCGGCAATTTCCCTGACTATGCCACCCTCAGCGGCGTACCGCTTCCAAACCCATATCCCGAGTTTGACATAAACAAGGCGCTACCTCGACCATATCGACCATTCCGATGGCCATACCACCAAACCATGTGTAAGTGTCCTACCCGAGGAAACAGAGACCTACCTTTTTGAATTTCACTAATAACCAACCCAACCAGCCCTCAGCAAACTCCAACCAGACTGGTGGATCGAGCTCGAAAACACCTACATAGAACGCATCCAAGAACGCAAATCCCTCTTCACCCAACACGGCACCGACGTCCTCGATGCCCTCCCGGGCTCCGAGCTTGCTTGCAAAGAACTAATGGAAACAGCCGTCCAGTTCCTCTGCGCCCGCTACCCGCACTACTTCTCCCTCTCCGCAGACAACACCATCCTACAAAACAGAATTCTAAACTCAGAAACCAATCTCCGTGCCACACACCCTCTGCATGTACTTCTCGACAACATCCCAGAAGACTTCGCCATCATGCTGCGCGATGACCGCAGCGGCCGCTATGTACTCCGCGCGGGCGTCATTTGCAGTGCGTTGGGCTGGCATTTAGGGACGAAGCTGGGGAAGCATCTTGCGGATATTCATGCGCCGATTCCGGATTACAAGGAGAAGATGGCGTTTTCCATGGATAGGTATGTTCATTCTCCTTCTCCTTTTTCTTCTTCTTCTTCTTCTCCTCCTCCTCCTTCGTTGTCTATCCTCTCCCCTTCCCATCTACCCATCGCTTTTTCCACTCCCCCCAAAAAAGCAAGCGCCGAGCAAAATAAGAAGAGAAAAAAAGAATCAGTATAGACTAGGCGTGATTAAACATGGGACATTTGCAAACGCAAACTAACCAACTAAAAAAAAACAACAACAGATACTTCACCAAAAAACCCACCGACAAACCCATCCAACGCGGCTCCTGGGGCCTCGAAATCCACACTCCCCTCTACGCACCCCCTTCCTCCCCTCTCCTCGCCCTCCGCACCCACCAACTCCCCCCTTCTCAACTCCCACTAAGCGACATCCACCTGCGCGTGGACTGGCAGACGCTACGCCGTCTCCCGCTGTCAGGGGCCGTCGTGTTTAATTTCAAAGCCGTGTTTACGCCCGTGGAGCAGTTTAGGGATGAGCCGCGGATACCGGGGTTGCTGCTGAAGATATTGGACCAAGGGAAGAAGGAGCTCATGGAGTACAAGGGGACGTGGCATGTGGAGCATGTGGTCAAGGATGTGTTGAGGACGTGGCATGGGGAGCAAGTGGCGAAAGGGTGGGTGGAGGAAGGGTGGGAGGCCGAGACGTTGGCGGAGAGTCCGTGGTTTAAAGGGTGGGAGGGGAAGTGGAGGGGGATGCAGGGGTTTTAAGAGGGTTTGTTTTGTTAAGAGGGGGGGGGGTTTCTTAAAAAGAGGAAGAATGAAGGATTACTACTACATGGTCATACTGAATCTCTATAGCCGAAAGAACAAGAAGAAGGAGCTTCACTTCCCCAATCTCTTTGCTATATCCCCTCGGTAGATCCATGCGGCGGCTCCTGCAGCTACTGCTCCCAGTGTCCCGAGGACCAATGTCGTGTTACTCACGTACGTCTCTTCGTGCACACGTCCGATCTTGGTCGTCTGTTTGCCAGTCCCAAAAACGACCTTGCTAGCTCTCACTCCACCCTCCTTCTCAGCGTGTACACCATTACCATTTTGTATAGGCTTGACGCTTGTGACCTCGAAATCCTCCCAGTCAACCTTGCTCATCATCTCCTGATAATCAATCACTGTTCCGGACCAATTATTCGTGATTCTCCCCTCGCTATTCTTGTACCAACTGCTACAATTCGGGTCCGCAAACGAGCTCTTGGCGAGTTTCTGCTGGAGCTCATCGTTGTATGCTTTTGTGCGCTGGGCGTTGGGTACGAGGCCGATTCGTTTGCCACGGTTGCGGGCGTCAAGAACGGCGGCAACGAGGGCGTTGAGGTAGCGCGACTGGGCCTCGATCATGAGGATGATTGAGTTGTGGCCTAGGTTCGTGTTGGGCCCGTAAAACATGCCAAAATTAGGTAGTGAGGGTACAGAGGTGCCGTATAGGGCGTAGGCGCCGCCGCCACCCCAGATGGAGGAGAGGCTGCGTTTTTGCGTCCCGGTCACGCGGATGGGGTGTAGGAACTCGAGGGTACGGAAACCTGTGGCGAGTACAATGGTGTCATGGTCGCGGTGTGTGCCATCTTCGAGTTCAATACCTGATTCGGTAATTCTGCGTATCTTTGTGGTCTCAAGCTGTGTCTTGGGGCTCGCGAGAGCGGGAAAAAAGTCGTCAGATATGATGACGCGTTTGCAGCCTGGGTTGTAGTCTGGAGTGAGTTTTTCCCAGAGATCAGGCCGGTTGGGAATCTGCTTCTCCATCATATCTTTGCAGGCGGCACGGACATCTTTGGCCATGGGGCTTTGGTTGTTGCTTACGGCATCATAGAAGGTTTCACGGAAATCCATCATGATGCTGCGAATACGCCAGCTGACAGGGGGCACATAGCGCTGGAGGGCACGCCTGAAGTCGCTGATAGGACTGTCGAGACGTGGAATGACCCAGTTGGGAGAGCGCTGGTACACTGTCAAGGACGAGGTCTGGGGCAGAATGTCGGGTATGATTTGCGCAGCTGTTGCACCTGTTTGTTTTGTTAAGCTAGCTTGTCGAACCACTGAGCACTGCGAGACATACCGTTTCCAATTATTCCTACACGCTTCCCCTCGAGGCTATGGCTCCAGTCCCAGCGTGCAGAGTGCATGACTTTGCCTTTGAAGTCTTGCAGGCCTGGTATATCGGGATATCGAGGCTGATTGAGCTGGCCGACTGCCGAAACCAGAAAGTCGCACTCGATGCTGTATCCAGAGGCAAACTCAGCATCCTTGCCACCAATTACGTTGACGTCAACTCTCCATCGGTTTTTGGAGTCGTCCCACGTCGCAGCCTCGACGGCGGTGTTGAAGCGAATGTATTTGTACAAGTTGTACTTGCGTGCTACATTCCGAAGGTAGTCGAGTATCTCCTCTTGGCCTGGATACTCCCTTGTCCACTCTGGGTTTTGCTCAAACGAGTAACTGTACAGCATGCTCCAGACATCACAGCAGCAGCCAGGATATTTGTTGTCGTGCCATGTGCCACCGACACTAGAGCTCTTTTCTACAATGATGAAGTTGTGGCATTTGTTGCGTTTGATGAGGTCGATAGCCATGCACATGCCTTTGGATGTTTAGCCCCGTACGATCCGACTAGACAGTCTGGCTGGGATACTAACCAGAGATACCGGCTCCAATGATGACGACTGCAGCGTCGGTGTGAGTTTTGTTCTGGACCGGAACCTGATGCCATGGTTGCGAGCCGCCCATGTTGAGATTACTCGAGGATGTAAGGATTAGGAGATGGAAGTAGGATTGAGCGGTCTAAAGGGGGGATACAAGAGACGAGGGAGCTCGGCCAAGTGAAAAAGCAAGCCACTTTATATGTACAACCAGCGCGACGCCTTTGCTGCCGTGTGGACGAGTGACATGAGCATTGTAAAGCTTACAAAAACCAACAAATGGTATAGCCCCGGCATGGTGCAGTGAATGGTGGAGAACACGATGGAGATCCTCGGCCAAGGTGATTTGCAGCCAGCTTCCCCTCTTCCCATATCCGTCCAGTTCCTGTCCGAGGTTGTGCAGCATGGTGCTTTGTCATTACGCACTTGCGCTTCCGTTCTTACTACACTCGGACATGTTAAGCCCAATGAGGAAGAGTGCAAATTAATGATGAATCGAATGCCCTGACGTGCTGCAGCCCATGTGCAGAAGTGTTTACGGGGGATAAGAAAGCAGTGGTGTTGGCTCTCAGCAAGACATGCGCAGCGGGTTGTGGGGAAGGCGCAAGGGCGGGGAAGGCGGTATCCGGCAATGGGTGGGCCATTGGGGCCGGAGTACGCCAATCACCAAGCAAACTCACCAGATGCGCCTGACAACCGGTGCAGACAATAATATTACAGGCCAGCCAAAGTTGCAGTATGTCGTCAACGAGTGTAGTCGACAGAAGATACGCATGTGCGTATGTATGTATGTATGTATGTACGTAACAAATGGACGAGCTGAACAGGGCGCCCCGCTTTTTTTCGCCTATCGTCTGGGTGGTCTGGCAGTGCCTGGTTGTGCATGACCCCACGACTCTTGTTGTCGTTTCCCTTTTAGACCAAAGGTTATATTCCGCTTCTATTGCTCAACTCTTTCTTCACCGCTGCTGCTGCTGCTGCTCTTGTTGTCGTGGGTTTGCATCTGCCTTGTTGCTTGGTTGCTCATCAATGTCTTCCGGCGGAGGTTCGAATTCGCGTGTGTGTACCACACCCCATCGCACTTTTTTTTCTCCTCGGCTGTCTTGGTCTTGGTGGCTGCTTGTACAACGCGTGGAGCCTGTGGAACCAGTAGGATAGGTAGAATCCATGGAATGTGTAGAACAAGTCGCATCCGTACAACTCGCAGGCTGAGCGGGCATGATAGGAATTGGAGTGACTGCTCGTATTCGCATCCATGCCTCGCTCATCTCCAGCCTCGAAATGGGGAGCCGGCCATGTCTGGGCTGAGTCTTGAGCTCGCCTCGTGATGTCTTTGAGTATCCATGGTGCCGGTCTGCAACAGTGCTGCGCCTATCATGGGCGGTGGGGAGTGGTGTCGACGAGACATGCTTGGCTTCTCTGCGATAGTACTGAGCATGGTGGCGCCTGTCGTGCAGCACGTAGTCTAATGCATGATGCAGACACGGGCACTTCATCGCTGAGGGCGTGGGAGCCCGCGAGGAGGAAGCTGCCGTACATCTCTTGACATTGTAAAAAGGCGACGAGGAGCAGCGGGTGCCGCTGAAGCCTCTCCATGGCTTCGACTTGTAGGGTCGCTGGGAGATGCATGGACGTTTTCTGAGAACAACTGGCCAAGCGCAAGACGGACTGACGTGTACGTATGACACAGGCAGTGCACATGGAACACTGCTCCAAACTATCTCGTCAATTATAGCAAGCGCAATTACGCACGAGCCTTGGGGCCCGAGTCTGGCGTCAGCATCGCCTTTGCAAGACGCGATCCGGTTGCTGTGACCGATGGCGGGTTTGATGATGCATGGCAGGTGGAAGGGCTTGCCATGGGTGTAGTGACGGGTCCCAGGCGGGTTGGGTGCATTGGGTGTAGGGCGGTATACACGTGGTGTTTGTCACGTGGAGGCAGGGGGCCGTGTTGGTTCAACGTGAATGCGGCAGGGCTCGAGTCAAACCCAACCTTGGCCTCGCCATCTGCATCGACTTTTGTTTGCTGTTTCTTGTTTCTTGTTTCCCGTTGAACGGCACGGGCCCCGCAGCAGACATGGGCAGACTCGCAACACCCAAGCAGCCAGGCATGCGCTGGCGGGCAGACGACACAACAAAGCCAGGACAGCGGCCAGACAGAGGGGGGTTCTAGCCAGAATTGCTCGTGTGTTGATTGATGAGAACCTCAGCGGGCCGTGGTCCATGGGGACCCGTAATGCACCGAGATACGAAAGAGCAGGCCGACTGTTTGGCCCCAAGCAGCAGGTACAAGGCGTTGAAGCGACCGTTTGGAGGTCCGTTCTGTGCGGTCGGTGCACAGCATTGACCCGCCCGGAGGCTGTTAGGGTTGCGGGCATGCGAGGGAAATAAGCCAGCCAGTGGCAGAGCCAAGATGGGTTTCGCCAACACAAGACTGGCGGCGTGCTTGGGAGCAGGACGCTGGTCGCGGTCGGACGGCGGATGGGGCGTATGCTGCGATACCTGCCTACATGTCCCTATACATACACACTAGATGCTGCACCCCGCAAGCAGACGCGACAGTTGGGAGCGGCGCACAGAGAGGAAGAGCAAGAGCAAGAGCAAGAGCAAGAGAGGGGGGCAGCCTGCGTCCAGAGCGCCTGTGGGGATTTGGGACGATGGCTGGAGCGGGAGCTGGAGCGGGAGCTGGATCGAATCGAATAGTCATAACAATCATAGCAGTAGTAGTGTACGATAGTCAGTAAGTAGACTCCAGACGGGCGGTCCATGAGAGCCCATGTAAATCAATCCACCCACCCGCCCATCCACGATCCAAGTATCCATCCAGTCCAGTACACAGGCACACAGCTATATGCGCTTAAATTCAATAGCGCCGTCCGCTCGCTGTAGGTACATATTTACATGGATGCGGCGAGCCAGACCATGTCATCATAGCTGCTTCTGCTGCTGCTGCTCTCCTGGCACCCAGTGAGCAACAAGCAGCGACAACGCCGTGAATGTCTCCCATCCGGCCATGTACACAGCCTTATATGTCTGAAGCTGAAGGATTCCTTGTACGACGAGTAGAGAGGCGCCCTGTCC